CAATCCTTGATGCTAGACAGAATTTAAAATACTGTACAATTATATACAAAAGAAAATTATGTGTGGACTTTAAAATCAGAAAAACCTTAGTTCAACCATCTATCATCTATGTAACATCAGACAAATTAATTGCTCTGAATCTTAGTTGCATCAATTATAAAATGGGAAAACAAAAATGAACCTAATGGAAAAGCTATAAAGGTCAAGTGATAGAACATATATGAAGTTGTAAGAAAAGCATCTGCCCACCTAATAAGCACTCAGATATGTTTCCAAAGATATCGTGAACAGAGAAATAACAACATATCCAAAGATATATTAAACTCTGCAAATTACATGAACTTTGAATTGTCCCCAAGTACCACTTCACCTTTTTTATCTTGGAAAGGGCCAGAAATATGACCTACTATACAATAAATTGTATTGCTAAATAGGAATAGGAGAAGTCACTTTTTCCCAATGCCTGTGGCAATTGTACCCGGTCCATAATTATTTCTGTACTTTTTGGGGTCAAGGTTTAAAAAATAGAATGGTGAGTATGATGTGTAATCTTTATAAGGATTTTATTTACTATTATTGTTCTTTCAGATATGTAACTTCAGGTTAACATGTGTATACAGATAAAATACATATTTATGCATTCTGAATGACTTTTTATATTGTTATGGCAGGTTTCAAGAAATAAACTCCAAATACAGTATGAAATTCCTTGTCATATAAAGGTTTTTCCTTTCTGAAGACTAGATGAAGCTAGTATAGTTTGGTTACATTTTTAAATATGAAGCCCCTCAGCTGATGCACTGTTTTCCCAAAATGAATATTCCTATATGAAGTCCCTTTTCAATTCTTTCTAAGAATTTAGCTTGTTTGCATCCATGATATGTATGTCTCCACAAATGTATTAGGGAGAAATTTATCCCAAGCAAATAGAGCACAAGGATCCTATAATTGGTTCATCAGGGCTCCATAAATTTCTGCTGAGGGAGTACTTGAGTGGAGGCCCAATGTCATTCTGCTACCTTAATACTAAACCTATAAATATCTGCACATAAATCTATTTCCCCATCCCCATATATAAATATATTTACATATGTACATGCCT